TGCACCAGTAGTTTATGAGGAGTAGTCTGGACAAGCTTTGGCGTATTTGGCAACTCACAGAAACAAGAACCGGTTGAACCGGGTGATGCTCCCCGAGAAGGTTCTGGACACAGGAAAGTATAAAAAAATGAACAAAGGGCAATAACTCCAAAATTAGACCAGGCTTTGTTTAGGTTCTTGAAGCGTTGCAGTTCTATCCAATTATATCTAGCTACCTACAAAGTTTCATGTTGATATCTCTAATAGTTTTAAAGTAATGTCCAGGACAAAAGTCAAAAAGTAAAAATAAACAAGGGCAATTACTTCAAAATAAGGCAAGGCAGAGTAATGATTCTTAAGCACTGCACTTCCACCCAATGAGACCTATCTATCTACAAAGTTTCATGGTGATATCTCTTATAATTTTAGAGTAATGTCCCAGACAAAGTTCAAAGTGTCAAAATGAACAAAGGGCAATAACTCCAAAAGTAGGCAAGACAGCTTTACAGTTCTTGTGCACTGCAAACTTACTCAATTAGATCTATCTACCTACAAAGTTTCATGTTGATATCTCTAATACATTAAGAAATATGTCCCGGACAAAGTTCAAAGTGTAAAAATAAACAAAAGGGGATAATTCAAAAATTAGGCAAGGCAGAGTTAAGGTTCTTGTTCACTGCACACCTACTCAATGAGATCTATCTACCTACAAAGTTTCATGTTGATACCTCTTATACTTTTAGAGTTATGTCCTGGACAAAGTTCAAAGTGTAAAATAAACAAAGGGGTATAATTCAAAAATTAGACAAGGCAGAGTTACGGTTCTTGTGCACTGCACACCTACTCAATGAGATCTTTCTACCTACAAAGTTTCATGTTGATACCTCTTATACTTTTAGAGTTATGTCCCGGACAAATTTCAAAGTGTAAAATAAATAAAGGGGGATAATTCAAAAATTAGGCAAGGCAGAGTTACGGTTCTTGTGCACTGCACACCTACTTAATGAGATCTATCTACCTTCAAAGTTTCATGTTGATACCTCTTATACTTTTAGAGTTATATCCCGGACAAAGTTCAAAGTGTAAAATAAACAAAGGGGGATAATTCAAAAATTAGGCAAGGCAGAGCTACGGTTCTTGTGCACTGCACTTCTACTCAATGAGATCTATCTACCTACAAAGTTTCATGTTGATACCTCTTATACTTTTAGAGTTATGTCCCGGACAAATTTCCAAGTGTAAAATAAACAAAGGGGGGTAATTCAAAAATTAGGCAAGGCAGAGTTACGGTTCTTGTGCACTGCACACCTACTCAATGAGATCTATCTACCTACAAAGTTTCATGTTGATACCTCTTATACTTTTAGAGTTATGTCCCGGACAAAGTTCAAAGTGTAAAATAAACAAAGGGGGATAATTCAAAAATTAGGCAAGGCAGAGTTACGGTTCTTGTGCACTGCACTTCTACTCAATGAGATCTATCTACCTACAAAGTTTCATGTTGATACCTCTTACACTTTTAGAGTTATGTCCCGGACAAAGTTCAAAGTGTAAAAATAAACAAAGGGGAATAATTCAAAAATTAGGCAAGGCAGAGTTACGGTTCTTGTGCACTGCACTTCTACTCAATGAGATCTATCTACCTACAAAGTTTCATGTTGATACCTCTTGTTGTTTCAAAGTTATGTCCCGGACAAGAAAAGGGGACGGACGGACGGAAAGACGGGCGGACGGACGGACAAGGCGGCGACTATATGCTCCCCCGAAATTTTTTCGGGGAGCATAAAAAACACCTTTTATCAAAGGGCCATAACTCGGCCAAAAATCATTCAACCAGATAACCCGTGCAATATGCGCAAGGACTTGAGCGACAGATCAATCCTGTAAAGTTTCATTGAAATTGCATTAGTGGTATAAGAGAAGTTGTCCGGACAAACTTTAAAATTAAAAATTATTAAAGGGCCATAACTCTGACAAAAATCATTGAACCGGAAAATGCTGCTAATATGCACAACTAGACTTGGTACTGATCATTCCTGTAAATTTTGGATGAAATTGCACCAGTAGTTTATGAGGAGTAGTCCGGACAAGTTTTGTGACGGACGGACAGACAGACAACGGAGAAGTGATCCCTATATGTCGCCTATATGGCGACACAAAAATCAATTATGTACAATCATGTATTAAGTTATAGTAAAAAAATAACATTTGTTAACATAAATTCAAAGATCAAGGGGAATAATTCTAGAAATAGTCACGCTAGAGTTATGAACCTTGTCACACAATATGTGTGTAATGATAAGAAATATATATTTGAAGTAGATACCTTAAAAAGTAAAGAAGTTATAATATTTCTTAACGAAAATTCTAAGTTCAAAGAGAGATAAATCTGTAAATATTGCTTCAAGTGTTATGAGCATAATGTCACATAAAATGTAATTGATGATAAGGAATAAATAATTTGAATGTTGAGGTAGATACCTTTAAAACTAAAAAAGTCATAGTAAAAAATAACATTTTTCTAGTAAAAAAATCTAAGTTTATAAGGAGATAATTCTTGCAATATTGGTGCTAGAGTTATGAACCTTGTCACATAAGATGTAGATGATGATAAGGTACATATATTTGAAGTATGAAGTTGATCCCTTAGAAATAAATAAGTATCAGTAAAAATAATATTTTTAAGGAAAATTCTATTCAATGGGATATAAATCTGAAAATATTGGTGCAAGAGATATGAACCTTGTCACATAAGATGGGGATGATGATAAGGTACATAAATTTGAAGTATGAGGTTGATCCCTTTAGAAATAAATAAGTAACAGTAAACAAGAGGGCCATGATGACAAAATTCACGCCACACCGGTGTTGGGAAAGATTGCAGATTTTTGTTTATATAAGTTGCAACAACTTGTTTCGCAATCGAGCTGAAAATAAATATGTTTAAACCAATCTCAACGAACGTCTCCGTATAGGAATCAAACCCGGGTCGTCCAATTCAAAGTCAAAAGCTCTACGTTCTGAGCTAACCGGATGACGCCTGATGGCCTTATTGAATGCAAGCCTTTCAATGAGGAAAAACTTTAAAACGAAATATTTTGTACTAAACATTTGCCCATGCACTGTTAGCGTCCACGAATATATTTTCCGGTTCAAAAATTTGGAATCAATCAGTACAGAGCTTTTTAACCAGTATGGCGGATAGCCAAAAATACACTGTTGTTTTTTTTTATTTCAAATTGATAATTACATTGTTTAGGATTTTTTATAAATGATTTAATGTCTGAAAAAGTGATCCCTCGGAAGCATTAAAAACAGAAAACTTACATGGAAATAACAGACTCGGTTTGATTGTGTCTGTACATGAGGGAGGAAGGCAAGACAAATGAGTTTTTTATGGGTTCTTTTATGTTGCTTTGAATTTATGAGCATAACTATTAGACGTCAGGCTTGGCAATCATAAAGTATAACGTTACAAACTCGTAACGTCCAATATAGTGTATTGTTAGAAATGCGTTAACATTGTATCTGAATTATTGACCTAATATAAAACATTAAGAACTATTCAAATTCCAATACTCGTTTTACAAAAACCCAAACAAACAATCTTAGTTCAGTCTTTATTTGGGTCGGTATCGTTAATCGAATTGATTAACAACGACTGACAAATTGTCTCTATTCTTTATTTTGTTATCTCGTGTAGGTATACCTATGTAGCAACGTTATTACTGATGATGTTTTTGTGACTGAATGTTTATAACATGATTTAACCGGTAATGATGGACATAAAGGTTAATGTTAATAACATGATTTAACCGGTAATGATGGACATAAAGGTTAATGTTTATAACATGATTTAACCGGTAATGATGGACATAAAGGTTAATGTTTATAACATGATTTAACCGGTAATGATGGACATAAAGGTTAATGTTTATAACATGATTTAACCGGTAATGATGGACATAAAGGTTAATGTTTATAACATGATTTAACCGGTAATGATGGACATAAAGGTTAATGTTTATAACATGATTTAACCGGTAATGATGGACATAAAGGTTAATGTTTATAACATGATTTAACCGGTAATGATGGACATAAAGGTTAATGTTTATAACATGATTTAACCGGTAATGATGGACATATAGGTTAATGTTTATAACATGATTTAACCGGTAATGATGGACATATAGGTTAATGTTTATAACATGATTTAACCGGTAATGATGGACATATAGGTTAATGTTTATAACATGATTTAACCGGTAATGATGGACATAAAGGTTAATGTTTATAACATGATTTAACCGGTAATGATGGACATAAAGGTTAATGTTTATAACATGATTTAACCGGTAATGATGGACATATAGGTTAATGTTTATAACATGATTTAACCGGTAATGATGGACATATAGGTTAATGTTTATAACACGATTTAACCGGTAATGATGGACATAAAGGTTAATGTTTATAACACGAATTAACCGGTAATGATGGACATAAAGGTTAATGTTTATAACATGATTTAACCGGTAATGATGGACATCACCAATACTTTGAAAGCATAGTTACATTACATGTATATTTAGGGAGGTGACAACTATGGAACGCCTTTACTGACATTTAAATGATGATTATCGTCAGAGATCATGTATATACACTAACAGGAGAATATATTTACACTAACAAGAGATTACATTGACAATAACAAGAAATCATATTTTAAATAACAAGAGATAACAAGAGATTGATATACTTACAATAACAAGAGATTATACTTACAATAACAAAACGAGATTATATTTACAATAACAAGAGCTTATATTTACACTAACAAGATATTACATTGACAATAACAAGAAATCATATCTTCAATTACAGCTGATCATATTTACATTAGCAGGAGAACATATATGTATAAAAACGAGAGAGCACATTCACAATTACCTATCATTAAGTTACTGATATTTGAAGATATTGACGGTTTCAAGAGACCATATACACAGTACGATCCTTCAGTTATCATTTTCTGATAAACACGTGCCGTCGAAAATGGCTAGACACACTTCATTCCATGAAGTCTTTAAGATCAATTCACCATTTTCGATTTTCCATTTAAATTTTTTACAATTCTTAAAAATTCTTTTAGTTTCTTCCTTCCTTAATTTATGAGCTATACCATCTTCAATCAAAAATATGATCTGTTTTTCCTGTGCAATGACTTGTTCCAACATCCAACAGTATAACGCATTACTGAAGAATTTCTCTGAAGCAATAACGACGACAGACGACGATGATGCTAAATTATTGAAGAACACATCAAAATCACTGCGGCCTCCATCAGAATCTTCGTCGCAACATACCAACTGTCTCTCTGCTCCTATTTCATGTTGTAAGTTTCTTTTAAGGGGTGCAATAAAGTAATTTTCTACAAATTCTCGATTCATAAAGTGTTCACTGTCGATCATATATCTTTGTTCACTGTCGCATTCTTCGTTACCGCTATCTTCAAGTGAATAGACAAGGTAACACGCATATTTGTATTGGTGAAGACCAACACGGAGACGCTCAATTACATTATATCTATGCTCCCTTTGTCTTATAAGAAACCGCCTTTTGTATAGTTTATAAACAAATGCAACGATTATGAGAATGAAGAGAATGGCAGACGAGCATGATGAAATAATGTACAAGAGTAAGTTACATAAGTGTTTTAAATGTTGCACTGTCTTTTCACTGATTTCAGTTTTTCGACCATCATTATCTAGACATTTCAGGTTTTGCGATGTTATATTGACATAATTGGTTGTGAGAATCCATTGGATGAAATGTTTTGCGTTGCATGTGGAACATGAAATGCTGTTTGACGCAAGAATAACAGTTGCGTTCTTCTTTTTATGGTAAGAACTATCAGGTATAGAGTTTAGACGGTCGATTGAGAGATCATTCAAAATGTGTATTAAGTTGTTTCTTAGGTCTAAAGTTTTCAGTTTGCATAAATGTTCCAAACTGAATGTCACCTGTTGAAGTTTGTTGGAAGAAAGGTCTATGAACTCCAGGGCAGAATTGTTTGAAAACATGTTATAAGGAATCGTCTGTAAATTGTTTTCTGAAAAACTTATAAACTGTAAATAACTAAAAGATCCAGCCAGCTTTGCAAATAATGAAATGTTTTGCTTTTCCATTATGAATAATTGATTATTCGTAAAGTCTAGCATTTTAATTTGAGGTAAACATGTGGCAGCAAACGGAGTAAAGAACTGGAGGCCATTTTCTGAAAAATCTACCACTTCAATACTTGAAATCGAATTGTTGGTGCACCGTAAGTCGAAATGTCTCAGATTATTTTGCTTAATGACCAATTCGCGCCCGTGAATATGCAAAGGTTTGTTGATTGGGAGCGTGCAGTTAATAATCCATATATGAGTCGTTTTCGGGAAAATTGATGTCCCATTTACACTAATTGGTGTCAGTATACCACTGAGCACACGAATAATCCGTTCATCTGTAAAATATTCATTTGATAACACTAGTTTTCCAGGAGGAGGCATGCCAGTTTTTGGGAGTTCCAAATAGCTTAAATCCATAACTTTTAACGATGAAAGATCACTGATATTGAATCCTTTGTCATCTGTATGACTAAGTTGTGATTGAGAAACATTGAATTTTTCTAAAGATTTAACACAACCAAAAATGCTAAGACGCAAATAAGATATTTCTGAACCGATGATTTCAATTTCTGTTACTCGTTTCGTTTGTAAGATGTTTCCAAAAATTAAATCAACCACAAGTGGTCCTCTGTAATGACTCAGCCTTGATATTGCTAACACTTTAAGATTTCTTAATTTATTTGTTCCGTTTAAACTGGCTAAGAAATCTTGCATATCCAGTCTAACACACGAACTCACATTTAATACTCTGACTGAGTTTGCTCCAACAAAAGCGTCAGCAGATAAAATGAAATCAGCTAAAGCTAAATGTAAATGTAATTCTACAAGCACCTTTAATTGACTAAAGCAACCTGCATCCAATGTTAATGTACCAGAGACTACTGATTCGTCACTTATTTCCAAATATTTTACAAATCTCCAATTCTTTGTTGCAAAAAATGACCCATTTACAACTAGATTTTCATCAACTTTCCTAAAGTTTTGTATAATAACACGGGAAACCTTCTCTGGGAGTTCATTTGGAAAGTAATTACAATTCAAAGTGGCATTATTTTCTTTGTGGCAGTATGTTTTTGAAATTGCTGATGGTAAAACACATAAAAATAATGACAAATAAATAGCACTCATCATTATTTCTTGCACATGTACAGCTTCTTTGTGTTTCTGTCCCTCTAATCTTCTTGCATTTTAGATTGACTGTTTTCTACACCTATACAACTTTGTCTTGTTAATGCCCATCCCTCTAATCCACTGCATAAGAGTTACATTTTAGAGCGTTCCGTATATATGTGCAACTTGATTTGTTGCTGTGCTTCTAATCGTCTTAAATTTCTGACTTGGCTATGCTGTGCACAACCTGTTCAATTTACCGTCCTCTAATTTTCGGTTTGGCTATTCTATGCACAACCTGTTCGAGTTACCGTCCTCTAATTTTTGGTTTGGCTATTCTGTGCACAACCTGGTCGTATTACCGTCCTCTAATTTTTGGTTTAGCTATTCTATGCACAACCTGTTCGTGTTACCGTCCTCTTGTTGTTAGTATGGCTATTCCCTGCTCTTTTACGACTTATTCATGTAGCCGCGTCTGTTATCTTCTAGAAATTCTGATTTTGATGGTCACTCGGACAATCTTTTTCTAACTTATCTCATCATGTGATGAATTAATGCAATTATGTGTATCTACACAAAAAAAATTAAATACATTTACAGTAATAACGTTTTCCATAAACATATTTCAGTCAATTATTGTAAAGTATTATAGATGTCAATTACTCATTGACAAACTTTTACATATTAAGTATTACAAAATATGAAGCCGCGGCGGAAAAATAAAACGGAAATACTAAGTGGATTTTGATATACACAAGTTTTTACGATGAAAACTTCGAAACTACCGAGTTATTTTACAGTGTTTCACGATTAAACTCATCTCTCTGCTGGTATTTCAAAAAGTTAATCCCTCTGTTAATCAAAGTTCTTTTTTAAATCTATAAATCGTCTTCTAATGTAGTTGTTTCCTCTTGCATGTGTCCAGGAACAACAAAATCTATAGAGGTAACAATTAACAAAAAGAAATGTAGTTTGATGACTTTTAAGAAGTAAATGAAAATAGAAATACCTCCAAATTGTAAACAAAGCAATCAATTTCTGTATATTTAAGTGTTTTATCAAAACATTTGTGTGCGTTTCATATTTGATGCTACTAGCTCCTTTACATTAATTTCAGAGGAGGACACCTCTTTTGTCTATCCAAACTATTATCTATCCCTTTAATCACTAGTAGCGTAACATGCACACAGGCACTGTTTGATGTGGGACAAGAATGTCAAAATGAAGAGCTTTTCTTAATACTCGGACATTATTCCCCCTACAGAAATGGTTCTTCGAATGAGAACAAAAAAGGCAACACTTGTTAAAAGGTCAATGAAACGTCATTGAATAGCAATATAAAATAGTGAAAAAACGTACGTATATAATTGCTTTTATACATCGCCTAACAATGTTCAATGCCAAATAGAGCTAAAGATAAATATTGCAACACTATTATATATGCGTCCATGATATCAGTTATCATTGCATTAACGTATGATATATTACAACAATAACAACCATTTTATTTAAAGATCCTGTATGTTGTAATTGAGGTTGTGTACCACACTTAAGTGAAATAATAATATATATATGTACATGTATATAATTATGCTTATAAAACAATTTTCAAACATCGAAGAATATGTAAAATACGTACTGCAAATATTTGTACACATTATATGTAATCATTAAAATATAGGCATTCTTTTCTTATTGATAAAATTGACTTAGACTTTATAGAAAATAAATTTTTATTACCTCCCTTTATTTACATGAAATGTTAAATTCGGTAATATCTTTATAAATAATGTTTTTTGGAACATACAAAGTTGATAAATCTTAATTTGAGATGTCATTTTAACTCATGTTCTTTAAACTTAAGACAAAGTGAAATATCTTCTATAAAAGTATGAGTAAAATATTTTTTCTTCTTGCGGCTAAACATTATCGCAGTATTTTGTGACATGTATCTACAATATTCTTCTGTGATATACGAACATTTCAGAAACATTATAATCAGAAAACCTTTTCCAGCTATTTGTTATGGATGATATGCATTCTGGTCTGGTCTCATTATATAGTACAAATTCTACATTTATTTCATTTTATTTTATTTCTTTTACATAGTGAAAGCATGTCCGACATAATTATGATAGGCTCTGCTGTGCTACTTCAATCGTTTATGTACATATTGAATTGCGGAATGATCAAACACTCCGGTTTTAAGCCGATTTCAACGTCAAATGCTCATTTTACACGTACCGCACATTTGACATTGTTACATAAAAATTTGAGAGCATTAAGACCAATATTGTCGAGATTTTTTCCAGAGAACAGTTTTATCAATTCTGTCGTCATCAGTAGTAGAACACTTGTTGTTTAAATCAGAAATGTATATCATATATACGTGACCATTCTATATAGCAACCTACTTATTCAACACTTCTGTACATGTATATAATATTGAACTTTCACGTCAGGTTCAAGTCGTTTTAAGGACACTTTTTCTTACAGTATGTATTTTAGCCTGTATTTGTTGGTCGTTAAACATGTCTAACCGTTGTGTTAAAACACTGGAGTTCATGGCAAATGCATAGCTATACCGGCACATCATCGATGAACCTTATACAGATTTCCGTTCATATGTAGGTTCTTTTTTACTAAACGTTTCACTCCTTTACAAAGCACGTAGCTATATAATAATTCAACATTCTTATTACCATTCAGAATTAAAACTGGCAGAACTGTTGGCGGAACTCTCGGACAAAGACTGTGTATTCTGCCAACGAAAGAAAATGAGCCGCGTCACGACAAAACCAACATAGTGCGTTTGCGACCAGCATGGGTCCAGACCAGCTTGCACATCCGCGCAGTCTGATCAGGATCTATGCTGTTCGCTTTCCAGCCCTATTACAAGTAAAGAAACTGATAACGAACAGTATGGATCCTGATCAGACTGCGCGGATGCTAACCTTCCTATTTTGCTATATACCGGTAATTATATTACTCATCTTTTGCTGAGCACCAAAGGTTTCTCACTATATTATGAAAAGTTCTTTTTTAATGTAATTATCTATTTTGCATAGTTTGATACAGCAAAGTTTTGAGTTGGTACCAAAGCTAAATAAAGCTAAATGCATGATGTTATAACAGAAAGGTCTTGTCACGGAGTACTTGAAGCAGAGACACGTTATTGTCCGTATACACCGGTAAATAACAAAATTATGGTCGTTCGAAGGCGAGACTCTGATAAGACGGCATTTGAATGTAGCAGAGATGTGGAAGGCTGTAGTGATTTAAGGAGTAGGTGAGCACAGCGTGAGGTAGTTATAGCGCATGGTGTATATCACACCATTGACACCGGTAAAGCCTCGGCAAGGTATCAGCTGTATGGTACAACCGTCAGGAGACGTATGACAGAGAAAGACAAAAGGTGACGAGAGCAGCTAAAGACGATTCTTGATTACCCAGGCCCTTCTAGACCCAGTATAACAATTGCAATGACTCGTTGTCACCGCCAGGTCCCGAAAAGGTTTCGATCCGGCAATATTGCTGAGTAAGATCGCTACGAGGATGCTAAAATGTGTCTTGGAAAAAACTTCAATTTACAAATTGTCCATATGTTTTCGATTCTACCATCGATACCTTTATGTCACGCTCTGGACCAAAATAGACGAGATATAATAATTTTAAAGTCTAAGACCACGGAAGACTCTAGCTAGCTTTCAAAAGGCCTCTGGTTGTACTCAACAAACCTCTCATACTTAAGATAATTAATGTACAGATAGATGATAAGAGGTCTTCGTTGGAAAGTCCCAAACAAAATGAAATATACAACTTTTAAGTCATTTTTGAAATGAAAGTATGAAATGATTGGTAAGTAACCCAAAATATCATTGTATCAATAATCAATAGTTTTTTCCTGCAACAATTTATCTTCTTGTAAAATTTAAAAGCTTTATGTAACATATAGTGTTACATGATAAACAATGACCATTATATAGATATACGTAGCGTCTCTAGTGGACACCTAATGAGTGAATAGCCACCATTTATATATCGTCTAGGTGTTGAAAAATTACGATATCGAAGAAATTGCAGGAAGTTTAAATTGAGATTCTTCGCATATTGCCTGATTATGGAATCACTAGATTCATTGATACGTGGTAGAATCTAAATGAGAATTTTCTCGGGGTGGTGACATTATAAAAATTTCTGATGCGAAGAGACTTAAGAATATAACAAACTGTCTTTTGGATCTTAATGTATCAAATAGAAATGTTAATGTTATAACCCAAATTAGCGAAATACAATATGACATATAAAACCTTTAAAATACAGTGGTGTTTGCGACCGACAGAGTCAAGAATGACAAATCTGTTCCAGCAATCCATGTGTAGGGAATCTGATAAGGCTTAAAATGAACAAGTAGTAACGGTGAGGAGAAATGATCATATAACTTATAAAAAAAATAAAATAAAAACGTTTTTATATATCTTGACCGGGATTCGAATACCAGACCTCTAACTTCCTAAGCTAACGTCGCAGGCTTCCGACTAATGCAGCTGGTGATATTCTAAATAGAAAAGATAATTCATTTACCATAGACACGAGCCACAATAGTTGTGTTTGTAAAATATTTCAAGTTAGTTAGGCTAGTGTAGCTCTCAAATTTCAACATTAATTCTCAAGAGAAGAATTAACAATTACTAGTATTTTCACTTGTTTTCTAATCCAGCCTTCCTTGGAAAATTTAAATGTACGTTGTATATGTACAATATTCATTTATAGTTTAAATCTTAATTTTAAATAAATTTACATGTACTGGTCATTATGATGTATTCAATTATCTATAACTTTATATATAACAAAACGAAGTTTTCAAATTAATATAGCAGCAAATCTGTCGAAATTGCTGAAAGTAATTTACGATACATATACAGGTATATAGAGGCATCTTCTTTGTAATTGTAATGTTGCTCTTTTATACAACTTTTTGTCTGTTGTATGGAATTCTAACACGACCCGCATTTTTCCCT